TAGTCTCTCTCTGGTCTCTCTCTGATCTCTCTCTCTGCTCTCTCTCTGGTCTCTCTTTCTGGTCTCTCTCTCTGGTCTCTCTCTCTCTGGTCTCTCTCTCTGGTCTCTCTCTGGACTCTCTCTCTGGTCTCTCTCTCTGGTCTCACTCTCTCTGGTCTCTCTCTCTGGTCTCTCTCTCTCTCTGGTCTCTCTCTGGTCTCTCTCTGGACTCTCTCTCTGGTCTCTCTGTCTCTTTCTGGTCTCTCTCTCTGGTCTCTCTCTCTGGTCTCTCTCTGGTCTCTCTCTCTCTGGTATCTCTCTCTGGTCTCTCTCTGGTCTCTCTCTGGTCTCTCTCTGGTCTCTCTCTGGTCTCTCTTGTCTCTTTCTGTTCTCTCTTTCTGGTTTCTCTCTCTGGTCTCTCTCTGGTATCTCTCTCTGGTCTCTCTCTGGTCTCTCTCTGGTATCTCTCTCTGGTCTCTCTCTCTGGTCTCTCTCTGGTCTCTCTCTGGTATCTCTCTCTGGTCTCTCTCTGGTATCTCTCTGGTATCTCTCTCTGGTCTCTCTCTCTGGTCTCTCTCTGGTCGCTCTCTGGTCTCTCTCTGGTATCTCTCTCTGGTCTCTCTCTGGTCTCACTGGTATCTCTCTCTGGTCTTTGATCGTTGTGTGTGATCGTTGTGGTGTGATAGTTGTGTGTGATAGTTGCGTGTGATAGTTGTGTGTGATAGTTGTGTGTGAGTCAGTGTCAGCGTGAGAGTGCGCTGTTTGACTGTTATTATTCTTGACTGCTTGTTATGGTACAGTTTATTCTTGTAATCAAGGCGAGCAGAAGGAGAAAACTTAACTATAATCTGGTCCAAAACATATCTGTCCATTTGATGACATCCACGGGTCATCATTTTATTCATAATCTCTATATTGATTTAAACCTGGTGTCCCCAAACTCACCCAGAGAGCTACCCAGAGAGTGAGATATTGGGGTGAACAGTCATGAGCTATCACTGCATTTGTTACTAGTGCACAAAGTAAGTGCATTTACAATGATAAATAATGAATCATTTATTTCCTTTATTTATCTATTTCTGGGTCAGGGGGGTGGCAAATCCGAGCTGCAATCCAATTCACAAAGCGACAGTCCCTCACTGGGGGGTTCAGGCAAAGTAGGGTTAAGTGTCTTGCCCAGGGACAAAACAACAGCAGACATCAGTGGGAGCAGATGAAATGGGTCGTTACACCGAATCCACGACCAAAGACCAATACACTACCAACTGAGCCACTGTCACGGCAAATGCATCCTAAAATGTTTAATTCATGTGAATGGTTAATTCCGGGTTTACCGCTATCGCATTAAAACAGTATTTTTGTCATGAAAACCTTAATAGATCATTTTGAAAACCTCCGTTCACGTTTATTAAGAATGTATATGTATAATGTATTCTCTGATTAACATTTAAATGTGTTGATTGATCGCCTCCTGTGGACTCACCACCTGCAGAGGGTCAGTGAGGGGCTGGTGCTATGAGACTTGGGTGGCATCTCTGATTGCCACCCCCCTGACCCAGAAATGGATTAAAGGGTAGAAAATGGATGGATGGATGGATTGATTGGTGTTTGCGTTTATTGAGCGTGGCTGGCAACCAAATGGCCGAACTACTTGCGGAGTAATCTACACATCTGAATTACAAGCAGAGGGTGCGTTGCCAAAGGGCAGCGGTCATTATTGTTTTGAGAGGTCCGTTATCAAGAAATAATGACCGGTAGAACGTTTTGAAAATACTTTCAAATCAATGGAGCGTTCTACTGCTGCTGTGAGGAGCCGTGTAATAAATAAAGATTACTTACTACTTACTTACAGTCAGGTTGTATAATGAATAATATGATCTGAAATATTAAGTATATTATTTGATTTGTTCATTTCTAAATCCTTTGGCGAGCTACCTGGAAGGGGGTGGCGAGCTACAGGTGGCTCCCGAGCTACAGGTTTGAGGACCCCTGATCTAAAGCACTGCTATAAAAGACCCTACTCTGTGCACTTCCGTACTCAGTGGTGTCAGATGGACCTGTGCTCTGGCCCTTTGCTGCAGACACCAGTGAACCATGGTCACTCCAGAGGCAGAATATGTTGGTAATGACGGCTGTTTCTGTGAAGAACGCTCCCAAAACGGCGAGCAAAGAAAGTAAAAACAGTGGTCAGAAGAGTGTGGACAGAGCAATGGCTTCTCTTGAAAAGGAACATGCATGAATTGCTCTAAAAACAACTTTGAGGAAAGAGAAACAACAGCTATTTCTCATGTTTTTGTTCCCTTTATGTAGACGCCTGGTGGTTAGCACTCTCAACAAGAAGGTCATGGGTTCAAATCCTGGTCAGAACCGGGCATTTCTGAATGGTGTTTGCATGTTTGTGTAGATTGCCTCTGGTTTTCCCTATCGCTAAAGGCAGCATTTTAGATTCAGGCAGCTAAAATCTGGAACAATCTTCCTGAAAATGTGAGAGTCAGAGCTTCACCCAATGACCAGAGCACCAGCCTCTCACTGATCCAGGTGGTGAGCCCACAGGAGGAGGGCTGCTCTGGTCTGAGCTGCCTTGATTTTTCAGCGGGGGCTTCAGGCAAAGTGGGGTTAAGTGTCTGGCACAAGGACAGCCGACATCAGTGGGAATAGTTGGAGAAGGTCTTGTGGTGGGCTCGAACCCACAACCTTCAGGCTCAAAGGCAAATGCTCCACCAACTGAGCCACTGTTGCAATATAGTGGAACATTTTCTGTCAAAGTAATTTATATTATGAAGTTAATTTTTCGATAAACTGAAGAGAAGGAGGGGTAAACGTGAAGCCAAAATATCCAGTTTTTGTGTAAAGTTTGTTTATAGATCCTCTTTAGCATCTGTGGCTCATGTTTTGTTTTAACCTTAGAACATTTTGAAGGATTCTACTTAACTTCAAAGACTAGAGGAACAATGAAGCTACGGCTTTTTGAGAAAATGTTTATTTTATTGGTATTTGGTTTTTATATTATAATGGTTTGCTTCAATGGTATTTTAGAAAGATTTACATATCTTTCAAACGAGGCCATGGAAGCACTTCCATGGCCTCTGAGGAGAGCGCCTTAACCATAATATTCTCTATTATCTCTACATTTCAACTAAAGACTAAACTAAAACTAACGCTTCAAGGTCCAGTGTCAGGTCAATTTGAAACATCAGAATCAAAATCACTGGGGGGAAGAAAAACACATAAAAAATATATATATTAAGCAAGAAAGAGATACTCATAAAAAACGCTATTTTGTTGTATTATTCACATTATAATTTTTTTCTGTGGTGTCATTTCCTTTGCAGACCGCAGAGACTCATCCCTCGACCTTCTCAACACAAACAACAGCGCTGTCCGTCACCAAACAGTGATTTATTGGCTGAGGACAGTTCCGTATTTGTCTGTGTTTTTATCGCACTGTTTGTCGCACTTGCGTCTCAAGCAGCTCGCGCATGTGTGCCTGTGTAGACCGAAATGGGCTGCTTGGCATAGTGCTGTGTAATTTTCTATCTATAACTCTTGCTTGGAGGAAATGTTAGGATTGCTTGTGGATGTTTTCTTGACATGTGAATGCCCTCACTCACAATACACCGCCACACGCAAAGCCACCAGAGAACGCAGTTATATATAGCTGCTTTAAATACTTCCACATGATTCACACAGTTCTTTTCAACGCTTTTGGAAATGCAAATATGTCCCCAATGGTTTTTGAACGGGAAAACAAAAACTTTAGAAGGACTCGAGCAAAATGTGGATCTTCCAGTGGGAAAGTTGCAGAGTACACAGTGTGATAATGTGTATGTGTGGAATTCCTATTGAAATACACATAGATTCAGATTCAGATTCATTAATTTGCAGTAAAACCATATTGGAATACATTTGCAAAAGTCCCCAGTGAGCACAAGACAAGTACATGAGTTTGCATGTTCTCCCCGTGTCTGCATAGGTTTCCTCTGGGTACTCCGGTTTCCCCTACCACTAAAAATATGTACAATAGGTTTGGCGTGTGCCTCCTGTACTGGCCCCGCTCCCATCTCTGTGTGGAGTGAGAGACAAATGCCCAAAAATTAGAATTGTAAACCTTGTAAATTGTGACTCTGGTCTGTGAAAGGCGGTATATAAATAAAGATTACTTACTTACTTACTTACTTACATAAAACAGATTTAAAATACATCTGTACGATCAACATGGAGCCTGCTGAAAATAGTGTCACATCATCAAAATCAAACAAGATTTTAACAAAACCTGTACGACACAATTTCACAGAACAGAATATGAGAGACAGATATGATAGATAGATAGATAGATGAATGATAGATAGATACTTAATTAATCCCCGTAGGAGAAATTCAGGAAATGATAATAACAGAGTGAGAAAGAGACAGAAACATACAGATTATAAATGGTACACTTAAAAACACATACATCCATTTTCTTCCCCTTTGTCCATTTCTGGGTCATAGGGGTGGCCATTCTCAGAGCACCAGCCCCTCACTGATGCAGGTGGTGAGTCCAGTGCTCTGTCTGTGCGAAGAGCATATAACGCCTTGATTTTTCCGCGGGGGCTTCAGGCAAAGTGGGGTTAGTGTCTTGCCCAAGGACACAATGACAGCAGACATCAGTGGGAGTCTGCGGAGCCACTGTCGCCCCCTTGAGATAACACAACTACCGTGTATAATTTATTTTCTTTATCTGGTTATTTGATTTTGTTTTCGGTAAGACTGCAGGAAATGTGTAGAGGCAAGGTTTGGCAACTATAGACTTTTTTTTATTTATTTTTTTTCTTTGACTTTTTAGGCTCTTTTTTAACCAAGATAGTCCCAGTGAGATTTCAGGATACATTTTTTCTGAATCTCTATCAATACATGTTTTTAGCTGGCAATCGTAGCACATGGAGGAAACCGTAGCACATGGAGGAAACCCTACGCAGACATAGGGATAACATGCAAACTCCACTCAGGAAGAAGCCCTGTGGAAGTGAGACCTCCATAACCGCTCAGCCGCCGTGAGCAGCGGTGAGGTCATGGCCGAGTGAGACGTGTGTTCTTTGTGACCTTTCTGTAATTCTTTGTGTCACATGTGTCGTCTCATGAAAGGCGGAAACACAAACCTAATGCTTTTTAACAAGGTTCGAGTCCTCCAGCTGCGGCTCCACAATAAACAGACCAACACTCAGGCTGAACGACAGAGGAGATATCAGCCAAGGGTCATTTCAGGATATTTGTGCTCAAACTATGTGGAATGCAGCTGCCATAAAACCAGAAGTGGCATCTGCAACGTACCACCAGGCATAGTGCGTCCAACTGCATCAACACACTATATGTTTACAATCTGAGACATGTTTACTCTTTACGACTTTTCAATGTGGACTGTCCAGGACCGTTCTAAAAACAATAATATTCTCACGCAGGGTGTGCCAGTTTACAGATAGAAACAAACACATAACACACTGGGGGGATTCCCGGGTGGCAGAACGGTAGGAACAAGGAGCGCGCAAACGAACATAAAAATAACATTCAAAAAAGTGAATATCAAGTATAGCACAACTATGGAAGCCCGTTTCCGCCATGTAAAAAAAAAAAAGCCTACAGAAAGTTAAAATTTTAACTTTAAAAGTCAAAATTACGACTTTAAAAGTCAAAATTACGACTTTAAAAGTCAAAATTACGAGTTTTCAACTGCGCATGTGCAGTTGAAAACTCGTATGTGTTGTTGTCTGGAACGGTCTCTGGTCATCCCTGTTATAGATCCATGACCATGGCTCATCCCTGTTATAGATCCATGACCATGGGTCATCCTCTACCTGCAGATTATGTGAAGATTTTGCCTACAGACAGTGACCACATCCATGAAGTAGCAGCAATAATGTTGTGGTAGTAATCGCGTTAAAATGCAAACGGTCTCTCCGTTTATGATTAGAATCCGCTTCAGAAGCCTCTATTTAGTTTATCCTAAACGGACTGTGGAAGATTAATAATAAAACACATACGGCTGTTCAAAGTCATTGAGCATCAACTGGTGACGTCTGGTCAGTATCATTGCGATCAATGGATGCACCAGAAATGCAGTGAATATTATTGTGACTGACAGAGAGACCATTCGCGATTACTGGATAGTGAGGGAGGTAAACCACAGACAGAGGCAGGAGAACCACAGACAGAGGCAGGTAAACCACAGACAGAGGCAGGTAAACCACAGCCACAGACAGAGGCAGGTAAACCACAGACAGAGGCAGGTGAACCACAGACAGAGGCAGGAAACCACAGACAGAGGCAGGTAAACCACAGACAGAGGCAGGTAAACCACAGACAGAGGCAGGTGAACCACAGACAGAGGCAGGAGAACCACAGACAGAGGCAGGTAAACCACAGACAGAGGCAGGTAAACCACAGACAGAGGCAGGTGAACCACAGACAGAGGCAGGAGAACCACAGACAGAGGCAGGTAAACCACAGACAGAGGCAGGAGAACCACAGACAGAGGCAGGAGAACCACAGACAGAGGCAGGAGAACCACAGACAGAGGCAGGAGAACCACAGACAGAGGCAGGAGAACCACAGACAGAGGCAGGAGAACCACAGACAGAGGCAGGAGAACCACAGACAGAGGCAGGAGAACCACAGACAGAGGCAGGTAAACCACAGACAGAGGCAGGTAAACCACAGACAGAGGCAGGTAAACCACCGACAGAGGCAGGTGAACCACAGACAGAGGCAGGTAAACCACAGACAGAGGCAGGTGAACCACAGACAGAGGCAGGAGAACCACAGACAGAGGCAGGTAAACCACAGACAGAGGCAGGTAAACCACAGAGGCAGGTGAACCACAGACAGAGGCAGGAGAACCACAGACAGAGGCAGGTAAACCACAGACAGAGGCAGGAGAACCACAGACAGAGGCAGGAGAACCACAGACAGAGGCAGGAGAACCACAGACAGAGGCAGGAGAACCACAGACAGAGGCAGGTGAACCACAGACAGAGGCAGGTAAACCACAGACAGAGGCAGGTAAACCACAGACAGAGGCAGGTGAACCACAGACAGAGGCAGGTGAACCACAGACAGAGGC